ATTGACAGAAACTTCTGAATAAAAAAAGTAGAAAATAATTCATTAGCAACTGTGATTTGTAGGGACTAAGATAACTACACTAGCTTTCAGAACGGAGGAGCAGTGGCAATCAAAGGACAGAATATGACCCTCACGCCACTACCTGCTTTTGCAAACCACACAGCTTCTCTGCAAACACCAGAATTGATGCTTTCTTGACCCTAAGTCAGTAAAGAAACAGTGACTGAAGACCACCTTTTTTACTTACTCAAGTTCTTCTAGTTACAGTTGTCATGTAATCTTGCTGTGCTGCTCATGCTTCCCGGTAAGCCTCTCTTTGCCCCAAGCTGCTTGCGAGATAACTGAACAAGCACAAACAAGAGGGGTGTCCTGGTTTGCTAGCATTTATTTTGACGCATCACTAACTGCCCAAGCATACCCACTCCCAGGTGGCTTTTTTTCTTTAGCAGAGGGTTGTTCACAACTAATTTGAAGTATTGCTACCAGTGGAAAAGCCTTCAGCGTTTCTCTAATGCCTGAGCACGCCTTTCTCAGGCATTTTGGAGCTTTGGGGCTTCGTTTGTGTTTGTGGTGGTGAAAGGCTATCCCAGTTCACAACTGTTTTCTGTGGCCTGCCTCCCCCTTTTAAGTGTGCTTGAAAAGGAGAACGGATCACAACTTGAAACAGCATCAGTGCGGCAGAACTGTGTGACAGACACAAGGAAACTGCGTTTCAAGAGGTCATCTAGTCTATAGACAGAAACCTACGACGGATGCCAGAGAACATGCACGTGGACATATTTTGACCTACGTGCTTCAGAACTGGAAGCCGTGCCGTCTTACGAGAATGACCTGTGCAAGCCCCTGGCTTAAATAAAGACCTAATACCAGCTGACAAGCTTGTTACCTCGCTGGGAGGTAGCATCTCCCAGTTCTCAAATTTCTGCTCTATTTTAGGAAATAAAAAAAATACAGCTTGGTACTGTAACCTTGAAAGTGTTGCCATTCCCTGATCTAGATTTTGTCCCCCAAGGCAGGATCAGTTGTCCCTAAGCCACTCCGGTCACACCATTGTCTCCAGCAATCAGGAGATTTTCCTAGTCTCCACTGTCCTCACTGTCAGTAAGTTCTTCCCACCCAGCAGTGGTAATTACTCAACAAGAGGCAGTGGGAGAACCAAAGCAGCAGACCTCCTGGGCTACTAAATCGAAGCAGAGGCATGTCTTTCCCTTCTGCCTTTTGTTTCCTTTAGGGTGGGGTGGGCCACACATCACCCAGCCCTTAGGACATCTTGCTGCTCTTCCTTCTCGCTTCACTAGTTTTGTCAGCTCCCTCGTTGTCAGGTCATCTTAATAGTGGATGTCTGGTACTTACTGCTCCTTATAAGCTGTTGCTGTCCCCACAAAGATGTTAACGCTGTTAGCGTGGCTTCCCTCCTGTCACTCAGGGGTCCAGTTTCCTCCACCTTTGGCTCTGCCCACGTGCTGGAGCACTGCCAGGATTGCTTACAGAGCAGAACTACAGATTCCTTCCCTAGACAAACCCCAAGAGCGCTTTTGTGGTTAGATTGTTCCTGGGTTCGCTCCAGCAGGCAGCAAGACCACGCTAGGTTTCCCACACCCTCCATCATCATCATACAGCACTATTCTGTCATGCTAGGCACCCCCACACGCCTCTCTGCCTGCAAAGCAGAGAACATCCAACTGTTAAACAAGTAAAATACAAGGTATTGTGAGGCTGCTTTCTCCTCGTCTTTGAGGATTATAGGAAATAAGAATTCTTACAGCTTTTAAAAAGCTATGTAGCCCCATGGAGTAGGCCACCATGACAGCATTCCTTGAGCCATCCTAGACCCACATCAGTCACAATTGCAAGAAGCTACCTCACCACTCCCACTAGGTATGTTCCTACTAAGGAACTGAAACAGCCTGCTCTATATGGGATGAGCCATAAGTAGGGTGGTTGTGGGTCCATATATACCCATCTGACCCTGGGGACAGGGGAAATGACTGACGAAGTATAAGCATAGCCCATGCTACCAGCTTTTAAACTGTTTTGGTTCCTTCACCCTCATAGGGAACAATGACCAAAGGTAGCAATTAAGGGGTAATGTGCAGGAACTCAAATTTTCAGAGAGAAAGCCACACAAAACAAGCAGCCAGTTACACCCACCTCCGAAACAAACCAACCAAAAAAACCCCAAACAAAAAACACACCACCCCCCCCCAAACAGGTATGCTGAATGAGTTGCTAATCAAGCACAGAGCAGACCCTTCCTTTCCACTCCCTTAAGCTCAGCTTCACCACAGAAATATCCTCTCGTCACTTAGGAAGTTTCTGCCCTGTATCACCTTTTCTGTATTCAAATGATGCTGATCATTAGATAAATGAATGAGATAGAACCACTGTCCAACAAGCTGAAACAAAAATTTCCAGAAGAGACCACCTGTTGTTCAACAAACCAGGCAATTTTCCTTTCAGGGCTTCCGGATCTCTGCTTTAATTTTATCTACTTGACACAGAGAGAGAATATTCCAGAGTACAAGCATAAGGTTCCTGAAAAGCTGCAATTATATCTAAGTGGGCCAATTGTGAAGTATTCTCCACATTTTCCATACAGGCATCACTGATCATTCAGGAATAAGGTCTGTTGTTTCTATTCTAAGATTGTACCATGAGACTACCCCATTTTGACACGGAATTATGCATGGAGCCATTATTTGCATTTCAGGAAACATTTTACAGTATGTCAGTATGTCTCATAGAAATCTGGAGGTAATCTCAAACGTCTGATTGTAAAAAAACTTACCATATGTCCAATAAGATTAGTAATTTGAACTTACATCTAATATTCAATCAGGCAATCCAAGTCTGTGTCAACAAAGAGGCACAGAACATTGATACTCAGATGAGGCTCCTATTTTTCTTTCCCCTAAAGCCTAGCCAACTCATGACTAATCAAAAATTATTTGGGAAAGAAGTGACAGAGATGAGGCAACCAGTAAGGTATCTAGATACTTGCTTTCCTTTTTGGACATGGTACCGAAAGGACTCTTCACCCAACTCCTTTAAAAGGTAAATCAGGAAAATGTTTTCTTTCTTTTAACAGACACAAACCATCAGTATTTTCTACTCTCCTAACTGGAATTTTCCAGAGAGGTACAACTAGCCACAGCAATGTATTCAGACAAAAGGTTTACTCATCACAGCTGTAATACTTAATCGTTTCAAGGGCTAACTAAGAGACATAATGGAAACCATACAGAGGTCTCTACCACGGTCTGCCATAGATACTTTCCCCCCCCCCCCAAACATAGGTGGTAAACTACATGTGAAATACGCATCTTTCAAAACCAAAGTGAGGCATTCAGGAGAGAAGCTTGTGTTTCAAGCAGAAACCATGAGCTAGGTCAGTGGATAAGAGGAAGATTTCTCTCCCTAGTACAGTTAAGAAACAAATTATTTTAGTGAGGCACCTGAAAAAGAGTAAAAGGTCTGAGTGAGTAGATTGTTAAGCGGTACCGTAAAACTTTTGAATTACTTCTGTATTTTGAATACAAAAATATTGAAATACAACAAATCAGTTTCAAGTTTCTTTTCTGTTACAGATTCATTTTATGAAAAAAATATAGGGCAGCTTTTTCCTCTGCATTTGTCACTGTTCCTCGATAACTTTTGAAACCATTCAAGGAGAGGTAGAATTGCCATACATTCCTGCAACCTTTATGAAGCATCAGTGCCTGGAGAGAAAGCCCCGAATCCAGTGAGCAAGAACTCAAATATGATGAACCCTACCCTGTCCTAACACTATGTACCCAGCCAGACTAGTCCAAGCTGCATTTTGACAAGCCCAGCAGATGTCAGAGAAAACACAGGAGGAAACTGAGGCTACTATGGTGGAGGAAAGAGGTATAAAGCACACCAGTCTATCCAAAGCTTTGTTTTGCTACTTGGGAGGACAGCTTTCATTTTAATTGGCAATTTAAACCTACGTAACATGTATTTTTCTAACTGTTTTGTGGGTACCAAAGTTATTTCAGATGACAGTAGGATACTGACCTAAAGTGTTAACATAGCTTTAATAGTATTGTTTTGAGCAGATAAACCTCAAGATGATTTTTAAAGTGTTTGTCAGAGTAGACTACAGTCTGTGAGTAAGCTTTCTCTATGGCACTTCAAGGATGGGCTTTTACAAGGCTTATCCCGCTACATATAATGTTTTAAAGAACAAGACATTTAAGATCACATTCAAAACACTGTTTTTTAAAATATCATGATATTTTAAAGAGACTAACAATTTATTCAATGCAAATGCAACATATAAAGTTGTGGAGTTCCAAATACACATCCAGTCTGCCATTTCTAGTTTTGTGCAAATTAATTTACTTAAAATAATTTCAAATCTAGCATAGTGTCAAATAACATCCAACCTCCAAAGTTACAGAACTGATATTCTTCACGTGCTTGAAATTAGAATTGCCAGTTTTACTAAATCTATTTTTGATTTAAAGCAAAGGGAAAAAAAAAGGTAAACAATTACTGTAACAGCACAAGAATGGGTGACAACTGTCAGTCTTCAGATATAACTTGTTATGCCCTTTCTTACAGTCAACTTCTAGTCAAATATGTAAATAAATACAAGAACTAACACAAGTAAAAGTTACCACTATAAGAAAATACATTATATGCTGCAGTTTGGAATAAAATATCATACAATATTGGCTGCATCATTTGGAATATGTATTTGACTGCTTAAAACAGTTTGATGCTAAACAGTTAAACCTTTTCTTTGTGCAGAGGACTACACTTTTACTCACCGTTAGAAATGTGTTTTGTGATTAATTTTACACTAGCATATTAAACTCCTAAATGTGAAAATGACTCAAGTCATTTAGTGAAAGAAGATACCATAGGCACCATAATATATTTTTTTCTTTTTAAACAAAATCTGGTGATGAACCAGCAGTAACAAAATAGGATGAAAATTAAAAGGCACATTCAGGCAAAAAGTTAATCAACACAGTTTGCATGATGCTATATTTAAAAAAAATAATTTATGCTCTGAATAATTGATTGAATCAGGAACAAATATTCTGACAGATTCTAATCTGTCAGAGAGAAAGTAAATTTTGTAAAAGGTGTGTAATTCTAACTATGTAATTATTTTTTAATGTTGAATTTTGTTTTGTTTTAAGGTCAGTATAAGGCTTATAACCAAGTGCACGTTAAAAGGACTGGCTACTCAAAACCTCTTGTTTTCTCAGTGCATAGAAATACAATGAGCAATGAAGATATTCCTTGCAAGAAGATGTATCTTGTATATGTGCAAATCTTAATCAAGTACTTGAGCGTCTTTCAGGTCTTGGAACACATTTCATAATTGCAGCTCTCCACAGGGCAGGGGCAAGTAAAAGGCTTAGAGTAGTCACACTCAGAATAAGAAGATAGACCTGAAAATTGCAAAAAAAGCCATTACTTCTCTTAGTTACATGGTAAACTAAGATGTGACTAGAAGTTTGAGGAGATCAGACTCTTCTGAACAGTATTTTCAGGAGACTTCACCTGTCTTCCTAACCAACTATGCATATTGCTACAAAAGCAAACAAGTACATGCTCAAATCATCTAATTATCCGTTTACCTGGTTTGAAGATACAATTACAAAAACAACATTATGAACTTATAGAAAAACAATTATTTACACGTATAGTTAAGAGGTCAATTTTGAAAGCTCAATGTTTGTTAAAAGGTCAAACGCCAAATACCATTTTATTTAAAAACAAACAAACAAACAACAACAACCACCAACAAACAAACCAAAACAACAACACACCTCCCCAAACCATTCTGGTTTAATGATGTAATGGCAAAGTTCACTACTATTTTATACACTAAAAAAAAAAGCAAACAAAAATCCCTTTAAGTCATACTGCACATCTTCTGAAAAAAGATCTTAACTACGTGGTCTGAACGAGTCTTATAAAACAACAGCAGGAAGTAGTTTTGAGGTCTCAAACAGAAGAATGACTTTTGGAAATTTCAGAGCTATATAAACCTGTACAGTAAATAATCACATGAGAGCTGCCACAGAAAAAAATGAAAGCCTGAAGGCCTCCAGGCGCAGTGGGTGGGCCCCTAAACTGGTTCTGTGATCCGTATGGGTATCTTGAAACTCTGTACAAACATACAATATTTATAACTCCTAATTATATGCAGGAGTGAACATGAAAATGAATCACCTCTACTTATACAAGTGAACAGCATTGTGTAAGTTTTTAACACGTGCTTTATTTGGAATTGGTTCCAGCATTATACAGCCCACTTGCTCACACAATGAAAAGCTCAGAGCACCAGCTGAGTATTTCTGTGAGCAGAGATACAGAGCAGAAAGCAGCTAGCACTAGAAAGTGAGGTCAGTTGTTGTATCTCTATAGCCATGATTTACTTAATTTCACAAAGCAGACTTCATGAAAAAAATAACGTTCTCACAGCTTCAATATGAAACTAAGTTTAAGGTTTCTTTCCTAGGGGATTTTTTTCATGACTACTGAAAAAGCTGGTTGTTTCTTCCGCAGAGGATTTAAAATGAACAAGCTTTGCAGGTAAAGATTACAAGTCTTTTTGCTTGTTTAAATGTTAAGGCAATTTCCATTTCACCATATCTGCTCTCTAGTTCATATTTACTGATATTTCCTTATTCAAATCCTATACTCTCAGTTACCTCTTTCTATAGCTATATCAAGATTTTAAAAGCAAAGGCTTCTCAGTCTTAGTGACTTGGGTGCTATGTACAACTCACTGCTCAGTTAATAAAGGAGTTGTAAGTGAGAGCAGTTAAGGTAAAGCATTTATAACTAAGCTATTTAAAAGTAAAACCTGCCATTTAAAATATTAAAGTACAATATGAAACAATTAAAAAATGGAACTAAGAACCCTGTCAGGGACATACATGTCTCCTTTTGTATGGGTTGGTTCTCCTTGTTAACAGTTGAGAGATGCCACAAAATTGGACTGCACTGGTATCTCAAATACTGGGACTTTGTATTACAGTGTAAGTTATTCAGGTGCAAAAACTGAAGTTAATAACTATAGAACAGCTTACCTCCCGAGATATGATCCCTGCTCTGCGTGCTCTACTTCCCAGAACAAAAGAGAATTCACTGACTTGTGCCAGTCCTGCTGAGACAATCCACTTGATATACTGGCTGGTCTTTGGAAGAATCAGAGAAAGGACGAGCACTGCCAAGACAAACTTTAAAGACGGGTTTTTCAGTTGTTGTGTGTGTGTGGGTTGTTTGTGTTTGGTTTTTTTTTTTTTTAATAAAAGAAGTGCAATAAATTATCTTCGTAAGATACATAGCATCAAATACAATAATTCTGGACATAAAAATAAACTAGTGGACTTCTAAACGTGTCCTCTGTATTAATGTTGAAAGAGACATACATTGCACAGTAAAAAGTAGTATCTTGTTTACTATAATAAAAACACTTGATAACTTTGTCACAAGTCCCAAGCTAGATAAATAGATGTTTCTCCATGTGTAACTTACTTTTAACATTAAATACAATCCTTTGTTTTTTAGTATCCTAAGAATGTTGTATCAAACTGTATTCTAATCAGTAAGATTCCTCCAAATACAGATTTATAGTAAAGATGTACTTTTCTCTGTTATATCAGATTCAGTTCTTGCACAGAATTTTTGTTAGGGCGTGCATCACCGAGATTACTTGGACTATTAAAGATAAAAAAGAGAAAAAGAAAAATACCTTCATTATGACCACAGACAATGTAAGGAATAGTAAGACCGTGAGTTCATATATTACAAATGTGGGGAAAACATGAAGTCCTCGGAGGAAAGAAAACAATATTTCAAAGTTTAAGGACAATATCTTACTATGATAATTTTCTGAGTTAATAATAGATTTAATTGCAAAACTGTCTTCTCAAAATCAAACAAACAAAAAGCCCTAACATACCTACTGCCACTACCTACTTCATCACTAAAGCACTTCCTGCATTATCCAACCATTTTTCCTTTGGAGGGGTTTAGCACAAACAATATTCCCAATTGAGTTAAATTGTACATGATCAATGCATGAGCACTTTCATTTATAGAGTTTTCTCTCTTCCACACCAGTCAACAATCCAGACTCTGAACTGAAACACACCTCTAATGAAAGCTATAAAAATACTGCAGGAAAACAATTCCATTGTTCTGCACAGTGATTGTAACATACATTTTGCTAGCCATTTAGCATTTTTGTATAACATGGTAATGGACTACCACTGCAGGAGGAACATGATATTCAGTATTTGCATAGACTATAGCTACAACAGAAAATGTAACTGTTTTGATCCCATGACCTTCACTTGCAAACACTGAAAGTCACCTGAACTGGAAAAGTCACTTAGACTGCAATCAGGTAAAGTCATAAACCCCTGAGCATGGTTTAACAATTAAGGAATTATGTAAAACCCCATTGCTATGATGTTGGGGTTTTTTTGGGGGGAGGTGGGGTATGTCCGTCTTTTTTTTTTTTTTTTTTTTTTTCTTTTTTGCATTTTTTTTGTCATTTTAATTCGGTAATGATATGAAGAAAGATACAAGAACCATAAAGAGCACTGAAATTTAAAACTAAATCCTGCTAATATTAAACATAAGAAAAAGAAGTATTTGTTGGAGAAGTCCTGGAGTTACTTAGGAAGAATCTTACTCACAGCTAAGTCCATTTTTTCCTCTTAGGGTATGAGGAACTTGTGCAGGCAAACATAACTGTGTATCTTTGGAAGCTCATTCCTTTTTCAAAAAAGCTCTTAAAAAGAGGAACCAAAAATAGTGGTGGTGTTCCTGATAAATCCATAACAGTTGGCAGTTCTCCAACCCAATTATTTCTGGTGATGGACAAGAATTTAGCTTTCTAAAGCACGAGGCATGTAAAACGATGCTGTAACTTCTTATTTTAATGCCAGACAGGTTTTCACTAATTTTCCCTGCCCCATAGCGCTGCAGAGCCAGAACTGTCGAGAACTAAGAGTCGTCATCTCTTCCTGAGTGCGCAAGAGAAGTTACTTGCAGTAACTTCACAATGTTTTGTCCGTACGCACATTCCATTGTGGATGGAAATGTACTTCAAGTACATCAGAGATTTTTTTTATACAAGTACTACCCAGTCAGCATGTACACACCCTGTTTTATTTCTTAATTTCCTTCCAACTACTGAAGCGCAAATACAAAAGACTATCAAAATAAGGGGAGAGAAGGCAGAATAAGAGAGACGAACACCACACCAAAAAAAGAAATCCAAATGTGTGCACACATGCACGTGGAAGGGCAAGTAGCTTCTCTTTTTTTACAGCATATCATGTGCACATTGCTCATTCACCTTTAGGCCGGTCTCAGAAACATACATGAAAAGCAACTAGAGAAATACAGCCTGTAACAATGTCATGTTTGATAAGAGGGCCAACTTTGCCACATCTGGAATTGAATATTTCAGAGGGAGGCTATAGATATAGCCTAGCGCTTTCATCACTACTGGTGGAGCTACCTTTTCAGTTCTGGAGTAGACAGGCAGTCTGAAGTCCATTTGAACTGGTGCCCAATGTGGGGATTACCACCATATTCCAAAAAGCGGAGGCACAAACTACCTCAGATTTCTATACCAGTCCCATGGAGGTAAGCATCTGCAAGGAGAAGCAAGCCTAAACCTGTTACATACACTGTTCTGAACAAAATAAACATTCCAGCACACAGACATGTTTTGGGGGAAATAAATCCCACCATAGTGGATTTCATGGTCATTACAGACCTTTGCCCCAGCCCTAGATGAAAACTTAGGATAAGGCCAGAAGTCATATCAGACTGCTATACAAGCACATGAAGCCGTCCTGACAACAGGAACATCATCAGAAAGATTAACTTCATAGAGAGAAGGTGCATGAATACAGGCGTTTATTTCAATGGTTTTAATCAGACTTTGTGACTAAGCTCAAGAGTCACTATGGACTGGTTCCCTAAAATGGAAGAAACGCTTCAATCAAATAATTCAAGAACTTCAGCACAGTCATCAGGTAGCATGTGGCATGTTGGCCTGCCACCAATAGCTAGGATATCACTTAGGTATATTTTCACAGAGCTGAGCATAAGCCACCAGACTTCAACTCTAAGCAGTGCTCTGGAATAGCTGGAATGGAGGCCTTGGGGTGAAGGTGACCTTGCATCAATGTCAAGCCAAAAAGCACAGTTCACTCATATAAGTTGGTATGCATTCTTCTGTGGACGATTACAAGCAAGATTTTGCACGTTCTTTTTATAAGTACTTTTTTTCTTAACAAGTAAACTCCCTCTCCCCCCCGATTAGACAGATTTCACCGATCTGCTGGATGGCCACTTAAACAGCACGTGAAGATCCAAATGTTGTGACCACATCCTGGAAGATCCAGCATCAAGAAAAGGAATCTTGGAGATCCTTGGCGGCAAACAAGATTACAGAAACCAGAACTCTGTTGGTCAAATTGGAGCCAGTGGAATTACTTCTGACGCATCCTCAAGAGAGGACACCACTCAGAAAAATCACGTTAGCAATGCATTGGGATGCTGTATCTACTAAGAGTCTTAATGAACCTAAGATCATAGCTAGCAAATGCAATAAATGCTAGATCATTAAGTAGCAGAGGGGAAAACCAACATTCATCTCCATCTTTCTGCAAAGGGGAAAGTCCTCTTGATTCTAATGTCAGTTCCGAGAGCTTGAAACCTCCAAGTTTCATTGTGTTCCATGCAGGACAACAAAGCAGTAGAGCTGGATGTATAAGGAGAAGGCAAGGTATGTCACTTAATGAATTCTAGTTGGCATCTTCCTTGTGATTTCTCTCAAATTCAGCAGAAATATTAAGAGGCTCGTCAGAGAAACACTGCATGCATGTTTGTTCTGGACAGTGGTAGTGCTGACAGTGTCAGCATCACCCATCTTCTGAAGAAACAGACCACATTGTTAAAGGGTTTTCAGCATCTTGCATTCAAGGTCCAACGCTGACCACAAGATTTACCCAGAAGGGAAACATGGAGCCTGGCAAGTGAGTACATCTGTACAGCACATTGAGGACACAACTTAGTCAGTGGAAGTAATCTGCCTCCTGCAGATAGGGTCCTGATGCCCAATTTCAAACTCTGTATACCTTGTAGACTGACAAAAAATGGGATATTGGAGCCTTTAAAAAAAAAAGTCAAACAGTCTATGCAAAGATACCTTCCATCTTTCTAAAAAGAAATCAAAACAAAATCAAATGATGCAGAGGTGGAAATGGAAGGATCTGAGTACTAGGTACCAAAACAGAAATGAGAAAGTAAGTTCTCAAAATGTGGCCCTAAGGGATTAGTCCAGGTGTTCTCTCACAAATATTAGTGAGGACAGAGACTAACAGGAACTCTCTAACCTCAGCAGATAGCATAAAAAGAGCCAGAAACCTTGAAGAACACACACGGGCCTAAATGAATGTACAGATGGAGAGTAACTCAAAGTGCAGCTGTTCACGCCTAACTGCAAAGGTGTATTATTCCCACAAATGCACCCATGCGCAAATTTGAAAGCAGTAGCATTACACAGGTCAAGCTAAGGGCAGGACCGCTGCTATAGATATTACACGAACAAGTACTATTCAGCTCAGCTTTTAGGCACCAGAAGGATTTCTGTAGTGAGAGCAGAAAAGCAGGCATTTAGGAACTAACTTTTCCAAATGACGTATTTACAGTCACTTTTCAATTAAGTCAAATTTTTCTATTTATTCCTTTGTTCTAAAAGGAACAGAAATTGTATTACTACAGTGGTGTACCATCCCACCTCAGGATCTCAAGTGTTTCTGCTCTCTATAATAGGGTGCTTGCTGCGTATAGCCACAAGCCTTCTCTTTAGGCAGGGAGGAAGGATCTTTCCCTGTGGCCTTCACATAATTTCACACAGTAAATCTCTGTATATTTATAGATACATATAATTTGCATGTATACATATATAAGTAGAGACCAAGCAAGAAGTCTTTTCTTACTAGATTCCGTTTTAAAAAGTTTAAGGAATACTTTTTATCCTATTCAGGTTTTCTTTGCAACATCACATCACTCCTTTTTAAAACCTACCTCCTTGCCACCCCACAGAACTTCCTGTTAACCACAAAATTTGATAGTAATTAAAAGTAAAGGGAGTAGGGTGGAATAATGTTTATTGGGGGGTGGGGGGGAAGGGTTTTTTTGTTTGGTTTTGTTTGGTTGTAAAAAAAATTTAAAAAAAAAAAAAAAAAACACAAAACACCAAAACAGAAAAACCCCAACCCAAAAACCAACAAACAAGCATTGTCCCATTTTGTCAGAGGTCTATAACATAGCTCATTTTTCTGATTTTTAGCTAACTTTCTTCTGAGACAGGAATAACACCTATTTTCTGTAAAACCATACAAACTTGTTAGGCAGTTTTCTTTTTCTTCTTGCGATTATAATGGTAACAACAGTTAAAAGATTTTTTTTTTTAAATTCTGTAACAGAACTACTAAAATAATTTCCTTACAGTATAACGTAGGCTATATGGAGTGCTGCCAGCATGCCAACTGAGGTCTCGCTATTTTATTGTACTCTACCAAAGTCTTATCTCTAGTCTTAATTTATGCAGTTACAAGAGCGTAGGCCAGTATTTTTGTTCAGTCCCTTGTAAAATTAACTTTGGGCTTATAATTACTTGTCATACTTTGTATTCATGATAACACTATCTGCTCCATCACCATCTTTACTGAAACACACAAACAACTTACCTGTGAGCATTTAGCAATTACTCATCCAACCTTGTCAGTTATATAGGCCCAAGAGTTTTACCCATAGCTCACCACTTTCCTCCCTTTATTAAAAAAATCAGTTATTCAAATAAACATATCTATTACTAAGCAATCTGACTGATCAGCACAAGTTGTTATCACGGGCTGGGTAAAACAAAAATCAAGATTGGCAAGTATAACTATTTCCTTTTTATTTTGGCAACCACCAGAAACAGCTTTAGTTTCTGTTATGAAACAATGGGTATCAAACAGGTATACAAGTAAAGCCATTAAAATTATGCTGATGAGACTTCACTGTTATCGGAATAAATACATGGAGATAAAAAGAACAATAGAAAACTTAAAATAAAACCAGAAGAAAAACCAAGGGTGGTCTTCAAAAAAAAAACAACCCAAACCCCAAGAATTTCTGAGTAAGCATGGGTTGAAGGAGGTTGGATTTGTGCAAAAGGCCACATTCAAACCCTCTATTTTAGACCTTGCAGTGCCCCCAAAATAGGACATGCATCTCCTATACAATCCACGGTGAGAGGCAAGTGTTTTCACAGGCCCTCTCTCCTGATTCACTGTACCTAAGCACTTCGGTAACGTGTTTCCGTTTCCTTTAGAGAAAGCGTATTGGGGCATGCATGGACAGCTAGAGAGTGCAGCAGTTCAAAATGAAGCTACCAATTGACAGTAAATATTCTCAGAGTTAACTTGTTCAGGATAACAAGCATGATGAGTTACTCCACTGGTCTTAGGCATCAATGCTGCATTTCAGTTGGCATTCAGGTAGTCTCCGAGATACATCTTGTGCAATTATTTTTTCCCTGCGTTGAGAACACACAGATCACATTTTCCTAACTAAAGAAACAAGATGCTATAAAGAAAGATCTGTTTCCATTATCATATTCTGCTTCTAGAGAAAACCAAGCCATAAGGACCTTAAATCTACTCTACCAACTGACTCAAAATAGTAATACAATTTTAGTATAAAGTACAAATATATCCACAGTGAAGACAGAAGAACATTAAAAAAAAAGGT